ATCGGCATCATCCCCAGTGACAGAACCACAGTGGAGGCAGGGACCCTTGGAGCATGGGAACTTATGAACTGGTTTGAAAATCAAATATTTATTATAAACCTACTGAGGGACCAGCTACTGAAGTTTTGGAGATGAACAGGACCCGGTTAATGTCTTCAAGTTGTAAAAGCCCCACAAGGATGCCCATTTATGTCTCTTCTGAAAGACCATCAATTTATGCAGACTGCTAGGAGGAATTCCTAGAGTCTACTATCAAACTGGCATCACCTCATGTGCATTTCCTAAAGCCACTTCTTAAGCCCCATCAATGCCTCCTTCACACAGCCAGCATGCTTGTCTCCCCTCACACAAAATTCCTAAGAACTCCCCTGGCCATTTGGGCCCCCTCCAGCTGGGACTCCCTTAAACCTGTATGCTTAAGGCCTCTTTCCCTCAGGACACTTTTGCTGCTGTGTGACCTAAACTATGCTTGCTGTAGCTTTGGACTCCTTCACACTTCAGATGATATGAAGGAGAGTTTTTAATCTTAAGTGAACTGTGTCACTCAAAAGCTTTCCATCCAATGGGCTGATGCTGATGTCAGAGTCGGGAAAGGCCTGGGGTCAGCTGGAGAAACTCCCCATTTAACTGGCAAGGAAGCCCAGGTCCAGAGGAATGAAGGGCTTTGACCAAGGCCACATATTTAATTACTGGGAGAACCAAGACCTTCGTCTCCTGCTTTCTACCTCATTGGCTTTCTTGCTGTGTCTTGTGCCTGAGTGTTGCCCCAGAACTGAGCATAGTAAGTTGGCACCCGGAGTCTGACAGGAGTATCTCTGTCTCCCCATGCCCTGCTCAAGCTTAGACGGAAGAGTGTGGGGTGTTTCTTCCCTGGGCCTGTGAACTTCTTTCCTGTTCCATCTCCAAAGGGAGGAGAGGACCTGCTCTGGGCTGGAGAAGTACACGAAGTGTTTTAGGAGTGTTATTATTAAATATTCAACAGGAGAAAAAGATAGCCATAAAGAACATTATTGGAACAACTGACAATAAATGTAGACTGTGAATCAATTAGACAACAGTATTGGTTCAATGACAAATTTACTCTTTGATTTTGATTTCAATAGTTGCATTTTAGTTATGTTCTTAGGACAACAGAATAATTAGAAGTCAAGGGCATGATGTCTCCAATTTGGCCTAAAATGGTAGGTACCTATCTCTATCTAAATGAATAAATAAATGAATATATATAGAGAGAGAATGACAAAACAGTGAAACAAAATGTAAACAACTGGTGACTCTAAATAAAGAGCATACAAGAGTTCCTTGTACTATTGTTGCAATGTTTCTGTAAATTTGAAATTATATCAAAATAGGTATAAAAAATTCCCATCAAGAGGCACACAGCAAACACTGAGAGGTCTCAAGGTCCAGGGAGGCAAGCTGGCTGCAGCTCTCCTTCCCCCAGCTTTAGTGGCAGCCTAAAGCCAGTCCTATCAGCCAGTCCTCCTGCCACCCTCAATGAGCCAGGGGACATACGGCCAAGCCACATGTGGACAGCACAGAGTATGTCCTGAGACTGCGGCCAGGCCCGGGTGTAGTGGCCAGAACGTAGGTCAGGGTTGGCACTACAGTTCCACACCTTACTAGCTGTGAGACCCGGGACAGGACAGTTTAGTTCTCTGAGGCTCTGTTTAGCTCATCCCTAAAATGGGAACAGCTATTTATAGCGCAGTTGAGTGAGACTTGGCTGAAGTGACACAGATCGAGCTCCTGAGGTGCTCCCAGTGCATAGGCACTCGGTAGACTCTGATTTTATTCAGCCTGCAGCTGTCCTGAGACAGGTGCCCTCACAATCTTCACTCCAGCATCTGGGTGGCTACTCCCTGTCTGCCTCCTCCCCATCTGATGTTACCATTTTCTCTCCAGTCAAACCACATAAACCGCATTCCTCTCCTTCAAAACCTGACCCTGCTTTCCTCATCCCAAAATCCTCCCAAGCTGCTCCCACCTCCCCCCTGCACTTGTGAGTCGGTGTCTGGCAGGTTAACTTGTACTTCTGTCTGCTTTCTCTCACCCTGTCCTTGCTTGGGTTGGGGTGGATGCCCTTGGGTTTTCCCTCATGCTCCTCAGTGCTCAGCAGGGAGGGAGGTGTGCAGAAGAGGGACCTGGTCACCATCTGTTTGATGAGAAAATCACTCAGCCTCACCTCAGGAAAGATGGATTTCCCTCTTAGACTAGGTACTTCTCAGCCCTTGACACAGATGAACACACACACACACAGCCAGATCGCTCATGGAATCAGAGGTGTCTGGGACTGGGGATGGCAAAGCTAAGAGAAAAAGGCAGGTTGCAGAGGTGTACAGACTGTGTGATTCCATCTCTGTGAGGCAAAAACGCAATTGATGTACTTGTGCATGTATAAAAATGCATGGAAAAAAGTCATTGAGGATTTTTGGGGCTTGAGTGGAATTGGGGGTAGATGAAAGAGGACTTTCACGTTATATATAGTATATTTCTATATTGTTTAAAATGCTTAAATAAGAATGTGTGCATATATAATGTCTATAATTAATAAACTAAGAATTATCCTCCAAAGGGAGAAAAGAACGGGTGCAGACCTAAAAGACATCTTCACTTTCCATCTCTGGGCAGCCGCCTTCTCAGGACGCTCCAGAAACAAACCCCAGGGTGTCTCTCAGGCCCCCAGGGTACAGGCTTCTGAAGGACAAGAGGGCAGGGGTGCAAGCAGGTAGAGGGCAGCTGCAGCCAGCCTGGCACTGCTCTCAGTGCTGGGGTGGCAGGTTTGGGGTGACAGGGGTGGGGGGCGGGGCGGTGGGCCAGCAAAGGGGTACAAAGTGGCCATGACTTTGGAGTGTGTGGAGATACACACTGCCATTCTTTCAGGGGCAAGATGTCTGAAATTCCAACATGGGGGCTCTGCACACAGAGTGAGATCCAAGTGGCGTCTACTGGAGTTAATCCAGTTGTGAATGTGTGTTTTCTGCAGAGATGAAGCACTTGCTGCCAGCCTGCTGCTCCCCTACTCACTCGGATGGAGCTTCACTCCCTCCCTCCAGCCTCCCCACCACAGGGTGCCTTGCTCTGCTCTCTGGGCAACACGATACTCTGAGGATGCTGATGTGAGGGTCCCCGAGGCGGGTCCACACTTAACAGAGGCAGCAGGGGAGACCCCCTTCTGCTTCTCAAGACCCCCAGTGTGGGCACCAGGCTTCTCCCTGGAACAGCTGGTTTCCAGCTTGACTGCACATGGGGTGACCTGGAGCTTGAACAAATACTGAGGCCTGGCACCCACCCCTGAGATTCTGATGTAATTGGTCTAGGGGCAGGGGAAGCCTGCGTGGCAGTGGTTTAAAAGCTCCGCAGGTGAATATAACATGCAGCCAGGGGTGCGAGCCGCTGCTTCAGACTCGGACAGTGACAACTTGCATGGTGTTTCCACAGCCTCTGTTCTCAGGGCAGACAGCCCAACTGCTGCTCTGCTCATCGTCTCAAGCTTGTTTTCCTCCTCCACAGTTTGGCTCTGACCCCATCTCACCTCCTCAAAGGCTCATTGGAGTGGGTGTGCTGGAGCTGAGGGCTGGAGGCCGCCCACCAGATCAACCCCTGCACTGCAGCTTCTGCACCCAGAAGTGGGGGACAGCCATGCCATAGCCCCAGTTCACAGCCCCTGGTGCCCTTCCTACATTCTCTATCCCTTCTGCTCACGGTTTTCCATACCAAGTATAGCACGGGCCCAAGGAATATTTTTGGAAGATAAAATTATTAACCCATTCTCACTAGGTTTTTCTTGGTATTATGTATGCATTCCCAACAACTTATTAAATGTCCATTCTTGATATTCTCAGGCTATCTACCTTGGTTAAGTGTCAACGAGAAATTAATTCCAATTTCGCTGCCCCAACATACTGAAGGCTGCATTCCCCCAACAGCCTGGCTGGGGTATGTTTGAGGAACCCAAGTTCATCATTAGGAAGGTAAGAATAAAACAAAGTCACAAACACTGCGTTGTAATGGAAGAAGATTGTAGTCTGAATTAATCAGGCTCAATTACTTTTCTCTATCAGTAGGGGCAATTAGGAGCTTATCTTGTTTTCTGTTTGTTTGTTTGAAAACACAGCATGTGCTGGGGATGTTCAAACGACTCTGCACCCTCTGTTGAAACTGTAGGTTTCAAAGGATAGTTCTGCTGTCAAAATTAGATTAAAAATTATAAGGGCAGCTGGGGTGACATTGTGACTTTTGAGGCCCTTCTGCCTTTATAGCCCCCTCCTCCACCAAAAAAAATGTACATAGATTTAATTATATATCAAGTATTATATTTGAATTATGTAAATTACTTTATAACTGCATGGGTATAAAGATGAATATACTCATGTTATGAATTAAAACATTGTCTTTGACTTAAAAGTTCACTTTTTTCTTCTAATTTTATAAGCTATTACAGCATTTGGCAGGCCTGTAAAAGCATTGTGGACCCTACGCATGGTGCCTAATGGATGTGTGGGCTCTGGGGAAGCTGAGATCCAAAAAGAGGAAGGTAGCTGTCTATGGTCATGGAGAGTCTCCTTTCTCTCTCGGCTTCTTATACCACACTGCGATTTGCCTTCCATGAGCAAGGCACAGCATGTGTCATTCTGAAAGGTAATCGCTTGAACAGACTCTGTACAATGGAGGACGGAGGATGAGACCCAGACACGTCTCCGTGACACTGGGAAGGAGAGAGTGGAGGAGCCAGGTGTTGACTCTGGGAGCTGAGGTGAGGAAGAATTCAGGGATGAGGGACTTTTCAGAGGAGTTTGCCAGAAAGGTATCCCATGGAGAGAGGTGCCAGAGAAGGCACGAAGGAAGGAACTGGTTCTGTTATTGGGCACTTCGGGGTGTGGGCGGACATCAGACTTCCAGGAGCTCGGGCAAGAGTGAGTGACCAGGAAGTGGGGGCTCTGAGGCTGCCCTCAGTCCCTGCCCCTGCCTCTGCCTGGTGAAGCTGGGCGAGTACTCACTCTCAGTTCCTAGCACGGGAGGAAGAGAGCTCTTGGACCTCCGGGATTTCATCTCTGGGGCCTTGGTGTTCTCACTGGCCGGGGCATCTGGAACGAAACAGGTAACAACCAGCGTTAGTCAGCAGCCGCTGAGGAACTGAGCAGAGGGGGCCTCTCGGTCAAAATCCCACCTCGACCAAACTCCTCCCCCAACTCTGAGGGCCCTTTGTGCCTGCTGGACAGAACAGTGCCTGCGTCCAGGCAACCTCCTTCACCCTCCATGAGAGCACCAAAGAAGGGCCGTCCACTGCCCTGGGCCTGATTAATGCGGTGAAGACAGCACTGTCACCTTGGCAAGATGAGTGCACAGGCTGCCCTGGGAGCTTGGGATGATCCCCCAGGAATGCCATTGCTGGCAGAGTCGGGGCACAGTCACCCCTTGCTCACCCTCCCGGCTTTCTCCTCCATCAGGCCTTGTCTCCCTCCTGCTAGACATCCTGGGTCTCCAAAAGGCTGTCTCTCCAATAGGGGGAGGAGGGGACAGGGTGTCTGCTCTTGGGCTCATGGACTAGAGCTGGCACACAGCTTCTGATTTCTCCGACTTTCTTCTGCAGACCAAACTTTGCAGTGACAAACCAAACGGAGGTCTCTGAGCAGGCAGCCAGCACACCTCCCCTCTGAGACAGGGTCTAGGCCCCACTGTGGGGCCTCTGCTAGCCCTCCCCCAACAGGCCCAGTGAAGCTGGGCACAGCTGCCTGCTGGGCGGACCTAAAGATGCTGGGCGGTGCCTGCCCTTGGGCTCTGCTCCACACTCCCTCTGCCAGAGGAAACCCTCCCTCATGGAGGGCAAGCAGGGAAACATCACTTGGCTAGCTGGGCTGGGTGGGAAGGCCCTCACCGGCCCCCAGGACACTGTGGGGAAACCACCCGGGAAATGGGATAAGGAGGAGCTGGTTGAGTGGCTATCACTGGGCCCCAGCACGTTCACTGGCCTTCCTTTCCCCACAAGGAGCGCTCTTTGGGGACGGCACTGAGAGACAGTCTCCCCCTTGGAGCCCTCTCCCTGGGCGTTCTTTTCCTGCTCCTGAGGAGAGGAAGCTCAGTGGGGGCGGGGGTGGGTGGGGGGACTTTCCAGCGGAGGCTTCACCACATTCCTGAGGCTTGGCTGGGGAGGAAGAGCCCTCTCACATCCGCCTCCAGGACTGGCAGTCAGGGCTGATCTTGCCTAGACTGGGCTCCTGGGGCTCTGAGGGGTGGGCACAGGGAGCAGAACTGGGGGCTGGGGACATCCTCCTCCCAGCAAGTGGACTCTGAGCTGCCTCTGGATGCATTTCTCCTTCTGGGAGGCATTTAGGCTCCTCGCTTTCCCCAGAACATGGATCTGCCCGCATGAGTCCCTCCGCTCATCACCACCCCACAGGCTTCCTTCCCAGCCTAGCGCCTGCCTCCTCTCTGTTCCGGGCAATCCAGGGAGGAGGCCCTGCGCGGGTGTCGCAGGCTCATGGCAGCTCAGAAGCAGACAGGCCTCCAGGGGCTGTGGGGGCAATCTCCCACCAAAGACAGTGGAAAGCCCTGCATGCACCATTAGGGGCTTTAAGTGGGACTTCTTAGCAGTACATGACAGGGTGTGCGGGGGAGCAGACAGCCAAAGCAACCCTTTCAAGTAGCCCTTGACACCAAAACGCTTCCTCGCCTCCACTTCCCACTGCAAGCTGGACTCCTGCCACCTCCCATACGGGCAAAAGAGCCCCAGATGGCACATCAGGGGTCCCTGCTATCTGGAGTGGACACTCTCAAGTTCCTCAGAAGGCTGCCTGCAACCCAGCACGCCAATTCCATGGGGACACAGAGAAGCAGAAAGCCGTAGGGCAGGGATGATTTCATTTTCTTACACTGGACATTTTCCCCAAGGATCACGGTCATTCTCAGCTACAGAAAAATCCTCTGGACATAGTTATTTGTCAGCCTCGGTGGATCTCAGCCTCAGCTGTATGTTAGAAGCACCTGTGCCAGGGTATCTCACCTCACAGGTCCTGGTTTCATTGGTCTGGGTTGGGGTCTGGGCATGGTATGACCCAGAAGCTCCATGGATGACTGATACTTGGCCAACAGAAAACTCCTCGTCTCTCCTCAAGCACAGGGAGTGCACAGGGAGTGGCTCCAGGACTATTCCAAGAGGCAGAAAAACCTGGCAGTGCTTCCCCTTGATATCTGGGGATGAGGGTGCCATAAACCAGGGGCATGGAGTCAGTCTAAGCTTCCCTTGTCCGGGGCTCTCCCTTCTTCCCTTCCTTGAAGACCAGCATTTCTAACCGTCGCCGATGACAATGTAAAGAAAGGTGTACCCAGTAATTGTTTCGTTTGTTTGGCCCTTTTTTTTGAAATGGAATCTCACTCTGTCGCTCAGGCTGGAGTGCAGTGGCATGATCTCGGCTCACTACAACCTCTGCCTCCCAGGTTCAAGTGATTCTCGTGCCTCAGTCTCCTGAGTAGCTGGGATTACAGGCGTGCACTAACACGCCTGGCTAATTTTTCATATTTTCGGTAGAGATGGGGTTTTGCCATGTTGGCCAGGCTGGTCTTGAACTCCTGGCCTCAGGTGATCTGCCTGCCTCGGCCTCCCAAAGTGCTGGGATTACTGGCATGAGCAACCGCACCTGGCCCTTCTTAAGGAACAGGAGTACAGGGCAGAGTATGTATGCAGTTCTGCACTCCTTGGCTTCAGCACTCATTCTCCTGGTGAGTCTTGCAGCATAGAGGAGGGAGAAGGATCGGGTTTGCTTTTTTAACTGATGAGTAAGCTGAGGCACAAGAAAGCAAAGGATAAGAGGCCCAGTTTTCCTGGGTTCCTGAAAGAAGGGCAGCAGGGACTGAGACTCCTTCTGTCCTCATGCGGTTGTGTTGGGCTTTACTTCCAAGCATCACCACAGTAGAGACCAAGAGAGAACAGCTCTAGCTTTGGCTTTGTCATCAGCAATCTTGGGAACTTGGAGAAATAATTTAAACTGTCCCATGTCTCTGTTTCCACATCTGTACAAGGGAATCACTTTTTTTCTCTACCTCATGGTGTTCCAAAGCCCAAAGGAGAGAACACATGCAACAGTGTTTTGGAAAGCAGGAAATGATCGTTTATCAGCCGGGTGTGGTGGCTCACGCCTGTAGTCCCAAGACTTTGAGAGGCCAAGGCAGGCGAATCACTTGGACCCAGAAGTTCAAGACCAGCCTGGGCAACATGATGAAACCCCATCTCTATAAAAATTACAAAAATTAGCCGGGCACTGTGGCATGTGCTTGTAGTCCTTAGCTGCTTGGGAGGCTGAGGTAGGAGGATCACCTGAGCCCACAGAGCTTGAGGCTGCAGTGATCATGCCACTGCACTCCAGCATGGATAACAGAGTGAGACCCTGTCTCCAAAAAACGAAAAAAAAAAAAAAAAGAAAATGATCACTTACCTATGAATTAATTCCCCTTGATAGCCACATTCCCTTACCTACTTCTGAGTCAGCTTTAAAATTTTCCACCTTCGGAAAGCCCTCCCTGCCCTGCCCCATCTGCCGCTGCCTCCGTCCTCGGCTCTAGGGTGCTGGGGTTTCACTGGACGTGTCAGTACACTACCCTGTAATGTGCTTTGAGTCTTATTTTCAGAAGTTCCTGCAGCACTTTATCTTTCCATCTGGCCATGAGGAAAGGGGCTCAAGTCCCCCTTTCAAACGAGGCACACCCCAGACTCGGAGCCCAGGAGGTGACCGCACTCCACCTAAAGTGTCAGCATGGTGGGGCTGTGCATGCACCACAGGGCCCTGCCAGGGATGCAGAGCCAGCAGACCTCCATGCCAACTGCAGCAAGGAGTGGGCTGGAAGGGCCATGTGCCTAATCAAAACCAGCTTTGTGCTCACATGACTGCCCAGGGGATAAAAATAATAGTAATATAAGTTTAAGAGCAGCTTGTATTTTCTATTTTAATCATTTTGTGATGAAATTAAACTCCATTGCTAGATCTAGGCCCCTAAGGCTGAAGTCCTTAGCTTGTGTCCCCAAAGAAGTGTGGGGAAGGAAGATGGAGGTGTGGGGAAGTGGGGGGCCTCTACATGGAGGGGAAAACGTGTCCTTCTATGGACAATGCCTCACCCCTTCCACTCCTGGGCTCTGGACTCAAGCTGTCTGGGCAGCATTTTTTTTTTTTGTCTCCCTCAAGAGGTTGGTTCCCTGAACTTTGACCCCATGCAGGGGGCGTGAGGTCTTGGGAAGCTTCTTGGAGGGGTCCAGCTTCTAGGGGCCCCCAGTGGGGCAGGGCAGAGGGGCTGGGCTTCAGCTTCTCCCTGGGTTGGCTCATCCCTCCTTGCTGGCCTCTCTCTCTGACTGAGTGCAAGCAGTGTGCTAACATATTAAGGAGGAGACATCAGGATGCTCGCGCTTCTTTCTGGCTCTGCTGCTTAGGAGCTGTGAGTCCCTGGGCAAGTTCCTGAACTTTTCTGAGTCTGAGCTTCCTCACAAGGAAAACGGAAATAACATCACCTCAAGAGAAGAGTGAGGGAGGTGTGACCAAGTCAGAAGGTGATGGCTGACATTTACTGGGTACTGACTCCATGTATGCACGGTGCTAAGTGCTTTGTGTTGATCTATACCATCAGATCAGGTTGAACTATACCATTCACCAGTATTGAAGTGTTTTTGACCTACAAAAACAGCAATTATATTTAGTTCCACATAATACCTGTTAGTTGTCTGTGATGATTTAAAGAATAAATCTGGGCCAGGCGTGGTAGCTCATGCCTATAATCCCAGCACTTCGGGAGGCTGAGGCGGGTGGATCACCTGAGGTCAGGAGTTCGAGATCAGCCTGGCCAACATGATGAAACCCCTTCTCTACTAAAAATACAAAAATTAGCAGGGCGTGGTGGCGGGTGCCTGTAATCTCAGCTACTTGGGAGGCTGAGGCAGCAGAATGGCTTGAATCCAGGAGATAGAGGTTGCAGTGAGCCGAGATTGCACTACTGCACTCCAGTCTGGACAAAAAGAGCAAAACTCTGTCTCAAAAAAATAAAAATAAAAAAAAAAATAAATGTGGGGGTGGGAGCAGACTTAGTAATATGGCAGGGCCAAGGT